GTGCTTTTTTCACTCTGGAACTTGGCGCGAGCCCAGCGCATTGAGGATAAGGGGGCGGAGTACGGAGATGGCACACAGGCCACCCTGGTTTCACTATTCCCCTGCCCGTTCCCGTGCTATTTGAGCGGAGAAAGTAGCTCGCTACTGCAGCTGCTCATCCGTTCACCTCACCTTCATAGAAAGGAGTCGTCCTCATGAGTGAGTGTACAGTTTGTCTTCAAGCAGGTTGCCGGGGAGCGCAGGTGTCGCTTCGGGTCAGGAGAGCTCAGGATCTCAATGCGATGCACCTTACCACCTTCTCCGAGGGGAACAATTCGAAACTTTTCGTGATTTCTCCATAAGGAGTGCAGCTGCTGTCCATATCGGACATCAGCAAAAGGTGTGACTGCGTATTGCCGCGCCACTATCTTCCCCTAAACAATTCACACGTCTCTGCCTTTGTTTCGCCAGTACCTTCGCCGCACTCGCAGTCACGCCTCTTGCTGCGCTCAGATATGCACTAAATGTGTGACAGCTATGCTTTTTCGGACGTTTCAAACATGCTGATGAAGCGGTAGCTGATGCTTAAGAAGGGATACTGGTGGAGACAAATAAAACTTCACTCACTTTCATCCGTCGGCTCAATCAGTACATCATCAAAGACGGTAAATTTGAGGCCAAATGTTTTCAACGAATGTGAGACTGTTCTGAAAATAATCAAAATTGATCTGAAACATTCTGAGAACCTATCAGGTCATTGAACCCACTTAAATCCGATAGTGTTAGCGACGTTTTTATCGGTGACTAAGAGAGTGTGCTTTGCGCCTAAATTCCTTACGTCGTAGCCAATTTCTGAAGTGACGCCTTTGCCGAAACGAATCGTCGAACAGATCATTTCGAAAGCCGTGTCCGTGGTGACTGAAAAAAGGTTGAGAGACTGTCGAGCCTCTTCAAGCAAAGCTTTCCAGGGCTCTATAGAAATAATAAAAATGAAGAAATGAAAATAAGAAATTGAAGAAAATAAAAGAGTAAATAATTTTTCTGCAATTATTAAAACCACTTGAAGATAGTGGGCGCGATAAGTGGGAGCGGGCCGCTGCCGCCAACGCCATTGGGGGAAGGCTGATGAAAGGCGCAGCCACGCCCCCACCCCGCCCCCTCCTCCATTTTCTGGACGTGGGTTGTACAATAAAGCAACTTTGCAAAAACAATAACAACTAGCAAATGTAAACTTATCAGAATGGTGGAGAAAGAACTTTGAATAAGAGCCTTCACTTTTTTTTCATTGGAAGAGGATTTCATAGTAACAAGTACTGACCAGTAGCCTTTCTCCACAAAAAAAAACTGAATAAAATAACTGAACAAATAAGAAAATAAAAGGTCTAACGATGAGATCCTCCAGTTAGTCGTGCGATTTGCAATGGACTGGGATCGTGGGCATGATGAGGGCATACGCCACCCATTGTCTGACAGACCCTCTCCAGAAATCCACGCGCCAGCCTTCCGGACATTCCTAAAAGCCACGCATTATCAAAAACTTTTTGCATCTATAATAGCCACTGTACTGACCAATCTTGGAGAGAACAGTTCAGGACTGTGAGAAGGATTCCAACAAACTACAACTAAGTACTGTAAAATAGCCTATTACGGTTTAGAGAAACAGGTACTGAAATTCAGTGAAGACAGCTTTGGAAACGTAAAAGATATCTCCCACTACGAGTTTTTCATCCTTAAAATCAGAACGGGCGTCATAAGTAACTTTGCCCATGTTCTGAAGGGTCAGTCATTTGAAGGGAAAAAAGTTTTATATCCATGGATGCCCAAATGGCTAACAACCAGGGACGTCTTTCGGTGAAGAGATTTTTTTACTAGATACGACCCCTCCCCCGAATATTCTCCTCCCTTATGACTACCCCCCACAACAGAGCAACCTATCTCGTTCTATCAATTTTCCAAAAAAAAACTGCCGACCAATGGTAGAGGAGGTTAACGCCCGCAATCAACTATCAGAAGCAATAATTTTGCGACAGTGTCGCCTAGGTCGAGGGGGAGGTCTAGTGTGCTTGAAACATGAAAAAAATCAACATTTGGGGAAGCCTTTCCCAAATGAAGTACGACCCCCCCCCTTTCTTCCAGAAACCGAAACGTCCATCTTTCCTGTTCTTTGGAAGGTGGACCAAATTTGAGTGCACCTTTGACTTCGAGTATCATCCTCAATAGGGTAACCCCACGAGGACTTCTTGACTGCCCTTCCCTCAATTTTAGTAGCGCCTGCTTTTTTGAGCGTCCACTATCTCAAGTTTTGAGTGGCTCAAGACTCTTCCTATGTCAGGCAATAGGAGGAGTCTTGAGCCACTCAAAACTCGTTTCCTTGTACAACAGAAGAGGCAACAAAAACCATTCGAAACCTTAGCATATCTTCACGTCGCACTTCTCATTAAAATGAATGAGCGAATAGTTGGCCTACCATCGACTGAAGCTACCTGTGTAGGCGTCATGCATTCGACTCCCATGTTGAGGTTTTCAAAAGGTGTACTTCCCATATAAGGCTTGCTCATGATATGAGACCTTTTCAGCGAACTCAGTTGAGTAGCGTTAACTTTACGTTCCCTTGTTAGAGAAGCTGGAATGCGAGGCTATCCTCTATACTGCCCAGGCTCTCCCTTCGTAAATCCTCGCCCCTGATTTTGTTGTTGAAGGCAATGGGCACACGATTGCTGGAGGCGGGAGGTTGTTGCCAGCGTCAGTGGTGGAGGACCTTAAGCCACACCTCCACAACTCATTGGCCAATTCGGCCGAACACCTTCTTTGAGCCCTTCCATCAATGACGCTAACAGCGGCTGCCCACCGCAGCAATCGTGCCCACTACCTTGAGTCTGATGTTTCGTCTGTGTCAACGAGGTTGTTGCCTGTTTTTCCTCATTTGCGACTTCAGTCCATCGACTCGCTTTCATCAGAGGCTCGAGGTCGGAGGAATTCGTGATTAC